CAAGTCCTCTTGGAAGAGTGGCCGATCTGTTCGACACGAGGCTGCCAGCAAGCATACTGCATGTCACAAACAGCACGAGGCTCCTGACAAATGGCTGATTTTCCACGCTGTGACCAAATCCTCAAAGACATAAAAGCCTGACCAGCACGCGGTCTTGAAGTCTGTCGGGAGTGAAATAACTCATGTGCAGCATTACTGATGTGCAATGAAGCTTCAATGATCACAGTCTGTAGGCGTGCTGTTTTGCATTGCATGTTATGCATGGCAGGCTATTCCGTGGCAGAGTGTCGCAGGGCGTTCCGGGGTGTGGGGGTGTCCTGGGTGATGGCGCGCGGCTGCCACTTCGTTTCGTGTATGGCATGGCGCGCACGTTACTACGTTCATGCGGGGACGGAGGCGAGACTGGGAGTGGTGCAGCACAGCAGAAACGTGTCCAGCTACTGAACCAACTGCAGATTCAAAGTACGGCGACATGCGCTTGTTGCAGGCAAGATGCCTACCAAGAATACCTCAGCAAGTCAAGCATTGTGATGTTGTGTGGCACGTTTCACGATAACCACAAGTCAGGTCTCTCGCAGCTCTCCACACGCACGGAAGCAAAGAAACGAACAACCTGCATGACGGAGAATTTTGTGCTTCCGGCACGTTGTTGGGTTGGCCCCTTCGCTTGTCGAAACTATCTATGCTTCTGTGCTGCCAGCTTCCGTACCACACGAAAATTTGAAAGCCAGTCGACTGCTCCACTGAAAAATGACTAACGTCATGTGAGTTTACTGCGCGAAAGCAACCTTCAAAAAGATGTGATGCGCTCAATGACTTTACAACAAGAAACTCAGAACGCCTGCATGTGACATGACTCTTGCCGCCAACAACCTGATGGAAACCTGAATCAGGCTACGCATCTTGCATCCGAGAATTGCAAACCGCAAGCATGAGAATTCCACAGCTTTGTTGCCTGTGTGCGTGCACGGAATTCTTACGTTGGCCAACAAACGGCACTTTGACGAGCCTGTGCGTGACCGTATGTGTACGTTCGTACCCCTTCATACAATCTCAGAAGATGTGGAGAGCAAGAAAGAGAAGAGAGAGAGAGAGTGAGCGAGACTCTCTGAGAGCAGGGAATTTTTTTCAACTGATGACAGCAGCTGTCGTGCCGTGATTGGCACATGTTGACAAGCGAAGTGTGCCCCGTTCCGACACTGGCGCAGGCTGGACACAAAGAAGAAGATTGCTTGCCGCTGCAGGTCAACGCCACCCGTCCGGGTCACCTCAGAGAGGTCAATCTCATCCGAGGCTGCGTCCACAGCTACCGCAGCAAGAACTGGAATCCCTATGAGTCGGAGCTGCATCGTCGTTCTTCTTGGCAGATTGGTGCACCATCCTGAGGGCTCTCAGTGTCAACATCGGATCGTATCCAGCCGAAGACTGAGGTGGTGCCGAGCTCGAGCCAAGGGTCCACACAGCGGGTACAAAGCCAACGACTTCGATGTAGCTCGAAGCCGTAAATATCGTGTGTTCAAGCAATAGGTATGGCCTCAAAGCTAAACAAGTCACAAGACAGATCCTTCTGGATACAAGCACCATTCTCAAAGACTACAAGTCAACGGAAGGATGGCAAAACCGTTTGAGTATGATTGAGTTCAGCGGCGTGTCATACTCGAACACCTCCGTCAGCAGAGCTCCAATGCCCGCCAAGACAACGAGGCACAGTACATCCATGTGCTCCTGGACAATGACGACAGTTGGATTCTGGATGATTGAGACTGACTATTGACTATTGCAAGCTGAGCTCAAAGTCAATCTGCGTACAGCTCACATGGCAATGGTGCTCACATAGCTGACTCAAGGCAAGCGGCGGTGACAGATTCCACTTTCCACTTGAAGCGGAAGCCGGAATGCAGCCTACCAGAACTAAGAAGTTTCGGTCGGCCTTGACTCTCGCAGCTGCAGCCGCGTGGCACTCCGGCCACCGCAATCGTGCCGAGGAGATTGGACCACCCGATCCCGACCTCCATCAAGGGCCAGGCCTGGGACACAGTGCACGCAATACTGAAGGCCTTCAGTTCCTGCAGCGTCTCGCCGCTTACGCCGCTGGCTTTTTCAAGCTGGGGCACGCAGACTCGAAGCGTCATGAAGCATCCATGTAGGAGGAGTACCTTCAGACCCCACATTCCGAAGTTCAACAGTGAGCCCCGAGGATTACTCTCGGAACTGGACAGGATGTTTCCATGCACCTATATGTGACGTGGCCTTGGTGCCAAACATCGCCAGCATCGCTTCCGGATCTGGACACGACCTGAGCGGAATGGGCCGGATCCTCCTTCGCAAGTGCTCTCTGCTGCTGAGTGCTGCACGCTATTCTTAACTCCAGGAAGAGCAAGGGCAGCATCTGTATCACCTGCGCCGCAGGGCCACCCGCACATTTCGGGGATGGAGGCTTGCTGGTTGTACTCCTGAACATCCCATGCCAAGGAGCTATCAAGCCAAGAAATACTGTGGAAGAGCCATCGTTTGGATCTTTCCTGAATATCAGCAGTGCATGGTGTGGGTCTTGGGAACCTTGTAGACTCAAACAAAATCGGCATCGTTCTGCAAAGCTGCGCAGTAGCATGGCACCAGATCAGAAGCGCCATCGCCAACAGAATCAGAACGCACGGAAGTATCATATTCATGGCTCTGCCATGCAGAATTTTCCTCACGGCGATGTGCACTTGAGTTCAGAACGAAAGGTTGTCGTCTGTTGGTGTAGCACCTACAGGCTTATGGGCTTCAAGTTAGCGGATGAATTTCAGGCTTTGCTTAAGGTTGGTGCAGGCGTCTCCGGCTGCAGGATGAAGGAGTCAAGGCTGGAGAAGGTCTGAGGCTGGAGCGTGTAGGGTTTCAGAAGTTCTTGGTGCTGCCCCCAAAGCTGGTTTCTCTCCCCAGTTGCCCCGGAAGTTTAGAGACCTGAATTCCTCGACTCTAAAGTCTCATTCTGCTGGACTCTAGCCGCGACAGCTTTAGCGCGCTTGCAGACAAGGAGCTGCATCGAAAACGCCCCACCAGCCATGGCTGGTAACGAAACTGATGGGACGCACTCGTGCTCTCAGAGTTCACAAATGCCAGTCTAGCCTAGCTACAAGGTCGTGTTCAGCGGCTTGGTGTCTGAAGGGATTTGATTTACCGATGTATACCGTATACCTACATCTGTTCAGGCTTCTCAGATAAGCCACAAATACAGGAAGGCGATCCAAACCATGCCGTGTGTGGAAGGATAAGCTGCACCACGTGTCCACTCCACACCAACCCACGGGCCCACCTGCTGCTCAAAGCTCGTCGCTCTCGAGAAACCCAGGGCCGCATCTACCCCAACCCAAGCCTTCCAGTCTTAGACATGAAGCTAGATGGAGCACTGTGTTGCACCGCTTGCAAACTTGCACAACGAGACTTGCACAGGGCTGGATGCTGTTCCTCAGGCTCGTGCGAAGTAGCCAGCACCAATCAAGTGAGACCAGATGTTACCTCAGCATCAGAGTGTCTCACAACAGCCCTAGCTTTGCTGCTGCAGCAGCCGCTGCCATGTCTTTGGCTGTCCTTTGGACTGCCGCCCAGCTGCCTGTCTCGTTGTGGATCCGGAAAATGCTTCGGATCAGGTCCCAGGGCCCTGGCGAGAATCGGGTCGCAAGGGGAACCGGGGACTTGTGTCAGCTGTGCCTGCAGGAGGTGGCCTGTAGCCCCAGTGGATGAAAGGCACCTTCTGCCGGGCAGGCCTTGCTGCAAAGAGGCTTTCCTCCATCCAACACAGGCTTTGCAGGGCCATCGAAGCCCGGCACACGTCGGTGTGATCCAAAAGGCCTGACCAGGCTGCTGGGTCGACGATTTGCGAAGCACCCTCCACGACCTACAAGTAGCCAGTGCTGCGAAAGATAGTCCCGATGCAGGCAGCCTTGACGCTTTCGAAGCTTGTTGGGCAGCCATGCCTGCGTTGTGAGGCACGTGGCAAACGACTTCATCAGGAGCGTTGGCGATAAGCCGTATTAAACGCAGAGTCTGTCCCCGCAGAGCCCTTCCTCTGGAACCGTCGGTGGAGGTGGGACGGACGCATCCTCGGATAGGACGCGGCTTCTTCTTCGGCCATGGCTTCTGACTTTCCGTGCACCGGGCTGCCATGGCCACGAGGAATCATGGCTGGCCTGGCTGGCCCTAGGAGTGGTGTCCTTGGCCCAGGCGGCGTCGTTCCCCCAACACGGCGTTTTTCTGCAGCCATATGCAAAGAAGTAGCCAAGCATGATGAAGCGATGGAATCGACCGCCGGGACGCGCCCATCTGCACAAGGCCACGGCAGGAGTACTGCAAAGCCTTTAAGGGAGCCTGCGAATGCTTCAGTACATGCGCTTTAACATTGGAAGCAGAGCGTGAAAAAAATGTGTCGTTCCTCGAGTCGCTAGCCATACGTTCGCAGCGGGTGCCAAGAGATGCACAGCTTCAAGGGCAGTGGTGAGGTGGTGAGTAAATTTGTTTCCCACCCTTCGAGCCCTCCGTCTCAGCAACATGATAGACGTGGCATGACATGCTCAGGCCAGGGCTGACACTCTTTCCGTTTTGAGCTGCTTGCAAACGCCTGCAACCGAATTTTGCCGGTGAGGAACGCTTCCAGCACCTGGTAAGCCCATCATGCAGCTTTCCCTGCATCCAGAAAGCGTGTGGGATGGCACCACTCGGCTCCATTTCCCTCTGCCGGGCTTCCTACGAGAAAAAAGCGGTGTTTGCAACTAGTGCTCGATCCCAAAGCGACCCGACGGCCTCAGTCTTTACAGGTTAGGGTTTAGGGTTTAGGGTTTAGGATTCAGAATGTTAGCAGCTTGAGCCTGTCCAACCTTTTCTGGCACGGCAAGTTCGCCAGTTTGGAGCTCCGGCAAGTAACTGTACATCATAATCCAGCTCAGCTTTGAGAAGACGTGACATGACAGTGGCACCGTAGTGAAACGTTTGAAAGATGCTTTCTTGTGATGGGAGTGCGCTCAGAAACACGGTATGTTGTCCAGCATGCCTTGCCAGTCTTCAACCTGCCACCAGCGGTCACCAGCATCTGCCAAGGCACTCTGGACGCATCCAAGCCCCCCACTCGCTGGAGCTCCTGGCCCGTGCCCATTCAGCTGCTGTCCGGGCTTGCGAAGCTCTTGCAGCTCTTTGCAGCTCTTTGCAGCTCTTTGCGGCTGGGTCGCTGAGGTCCATTTCCAGAGCTCTCGGTCGCAACCAGAGTCAAAGCCGCAGAGCGCTTCCTGATCCTGGCAGTTGGGCGAGTTGTAGGCAGCGCACCTGAGATCAGCCGATCAGTCAAAACAAAGAAAAACAGTGCTTTACGGGATCTGAGTGCAGCCCGAGGCGCTCGTCCTTGTACGGCGTGTCTACGATCTTCCCCTGATCCTTTGGAGACAGAGCAAGGCTGAACCGTATAGTCTTGCCGTCAATCTCTGGCAAACGAACGACCAGAAAAGCACTTGCTCTTCGAGACAAGCTCATGTCATGTGCAGGGCTACAGCAAAGGCCATTTCAGGCCTTCGCACTGTGGAGATCGAAAATGTCGGAGCCCACTGCATCCTCGATCTTCTGCTTCTGCTGGTCTTTCAAAGCATCAGCCTGGGCGGGCACGGCCAGAGCCACGATCCCACGTCAGCGTCATATTTCGGCAGTTTGAACCAAGTTGCAATTTTCTGCTTCTCTTTGCACTCCTTGTCCTTATCCTCGATAGCAGCCTTCAAGCAAAGTACCAGTATCCGATGGAACCTGCCATCAGTTCCTCCTAAGACGAACGTAGCCTTGATGCCGTTGATACAGCCACCGAAGCCCATGTACTTGGAGCAAATCCTGGGGGGTGGCATTTCGTCTGCACCACGATGCTACACGGACGCCGGCATCGAGCCACTGCTTGCTGTTAAGTGGCTCGCTATACTTCGCCTTTACTGCCTTCAGGCAACATGTGCCTGGCAAGAGCTGCTTTTCGGAGCACAAACCTCTCAGCCTCATGCACCTCTTGCCACAAAACAGATAGGGAGCACATTGATCGTGCATCTCATCGCAGTACTCCGAAGATTTCTGGAGTGTGTTCAAGCCCGCATCGCCTTTGTCACAGCCACAGCGGACTTCCAAAGTATTTTTCAACAACTGCTGCAAACGCACGGCAAAACCACGTGACCACGACGGCCAAGAAACCGCACGCTTCGCACACTTTGTGGAGTTCTGCCGTCCGGACTGCCACCAGTGCCGGCGGGGGTGCTCTTAAACTTCTGCCTTGGTGTGCAAATTTTCACCACGCAGCGGCCATCGGTTCTTGTACGGAAGGCGGATCCACTCGAAAAGATGCAAAGGAAGGCGGTGAGGCCAAGGCCATATGCAGCTGCTTCGGACACCACCACCTTGGACGGCTATGGCCAGGACTTCGCTGCTGTTGGCTTAATTGTGCGCATGCGGTTCCATCTGCTGGCAAGCGTCCAGCAAGCAGCAAGTTCGACCAATCGTCTTCATTGCAGGAACGGCTGAAAGGGGCCATTGGCTGCGGCAGAGTACAGTCTTGACACGTCGGGTGTTTGGCATAGTCAAGCCCCCCACAAGCAAGAACTTTGTCGAAGTCCTCCTGCAAGTTTGCACTGCATGTTTCCCGAATTTCAGGATCCATGAAAGACCTCGGAAAATAAGTGACGCTAACGCTCTAAAACTCATCTGGAACGTGGCTGTGCTCAGCCAGAGAAGGGCTCCCAGAAGGCGAATGTCTTGAATGCTCTTGTTGGGCGTCACAAACAACCTTCAATTCCAGGAGCCCGGGTTCATTTACACGAAAGAATTGAACGAGTTTTCAACTGTACTCTAGATTGATCTAAGATTGCACTCGCAGCACAGTGGAATCTCGCATCCATCACTCAGCGTGCATCAGTCCACGGCGGCACTATACGCGCCAGAATGGCAAACGCCACCCGATGAAGTCCGGAAGTTTGATGGGCTTTAAAGTCTGCCCACGCATCCTTAAGAAACATGGGATGTCACAAGTGCACGGGCCGAATGATGCAGAAAAGTAGACTTGAGCCGAGAGTCATGTCGACCTCCATCGCTTGGAGCATCTTGTCGTCCACAGCCAGCCATGGCGCCTGTTGCTTCTTCGGCTTTCCCTTGGCTTGCGCCTCCTGCCATTCCTTAGCACGGAAGGGAGGAACTGGTTCCGGGGATGGTGAAAACAATAAGCCGGGCTTCGCTAAGCCGTCGATGTGCCTCTGGACTTCTCCTGCGCAGTGCACGGCAAAACACGGGACTCTTCCGCCTCGCGGCTGCTGGCACCTCGCTTCTTCGAGCTCAGCCCGTGCCCGGCTTCGGTACTCCCTGAAGCGGAGGCTGTCGAGGCTGTCGCCGTTGGTGGCGTGTGCAGCGTGTGCTTGCAGCATCAATGCGAGCTGGGTGGACGCAACACCTCACAGGGTGACCATCCCAGAAAGTCCCACTCACAGAGAAGTTGTTCATGTCTCAACACGGCCATAATCATAGAAAAACACCGTGATCATCCTTCCATAGTACAATCATGGCACCGATGTGGTAGTGGCACTGAGGCGAAGCAGGGTGGCGCGCAAGGCAGGACTCCGACACCTCGATGACACGGAAGTACAGATCCTGCAGCTGAACAGTCTCCCCTTCTTGAGTTTCCGAAGGAGCTGTTGAAGCAAAGAAGGGCTCTGGAAGCGCTGCAGCGCCGAGTTTTGGGAGCAACAACGGCCAAGGCCACCCGGAGTACAATGCTCAGAGCATGGAGCCTAAGCCCTTATGCAAGCATGCTACTCCTGCACGGCATGGAGTTGCCGTGTCCAGTCAAGCTGCGAGGGCTGTTGGACCCCAAAACCCGACTCTAATTCCTGCGAAGTAGCGTTCAACAAAAAGCATTGAGCATTACGCAAGCTGAGCAAACCTTCAGGTGTGAAATGTAATTCTGTACGACAAGGTGGCTTGGCACATGCCTGAAAAGAAGCTTCGTTGCAGTCTAGTCCTGCAGGCGCTGCGAGTTCTCGGAACTCTGAGCGGCTTGCCGCAAGTAGGCCACGCCCAAATTCCTCAAGGCAATGGAGGCAAAGGGCTGTTGACGAGCATGGTTGGTGCATCCGACGCAAGTTCCTGTGTTGACCAAAGTTCCGTGCTGGAAGCCGGCATACTTATCGGTCCAAGCCAAGTGGCACATAGGGCGCACGAAAATCCGGATCCAGAAGAAGGCTCTTGTTCATCAGTTCCACTGCACTCTCCAAGAAACCCATTTCCAGTGCTCCCATGCCGAGGAGGAAGAGGGCATTGGAGTTTGACGGAAAGGATTCCAAAGCCTTCACGAAATGTTCCTGCCTGAGATCGAGAATCAGCCATGCTGACTTCAAGAGGCTCACGCAAAGCAACAAACAACCGATAATCGAAACCATGCTGCGCATCTTTCCAACGATCCGGTGCAGATCCGCGCGCCAGCAGCACACCGTTCGCACGATGCACAAAGGACGCGACACAAGACCTGGCCGGGCTCGGCGTAAATCTTCTCAGAGATGCTTCGACGTCACCTCAGCGCAAAACACATCAAAAATGGCCTAAGAGGTACTGCTTAGATTGCTTCCACCAGAATGCCAAGAAGACACGCAAGTCACGCGAGCGCTGCTCCGATGTACTCATCGTCATGGCGCGTCTCGCAATGAGGTATGCGGCAAGTTCCTGAGATGTTTCCCCGGTCCAAGAGCACAGCTCTCTACGGCCCACACTGGGAACACTGGGACGGCCCGACATTAAGCGAGCAGAGGCTCCGGTTGGCTCTTGTACTGCTCCTGCAACCGCTCGGGCGTGAACTCTGCAGCCCCGAAGAGTTGCTGCAGGGCGGGGCCGAGGGCAGCGTAGACCTGCAAAAAAGACAGTCGCTACGTTTGCCACCAAGCAAACTCCTGGAATGTGCTGCAGAGTTTTTTTGCTCGCAGCTCCGCCTCCGTCAGAATGTAGCGCTTCACCACAGCCGTGCCTGTTTTAGCTTGGCTGATCAGCCGCGCCCTTACGTGGTCCGAGGTCCTGAGCTCACAGTGAGCGCTTGAAAGGCTGGGACACTGCTCCTAAGGCTTTGTGCAACCGCGCTTCATGTCTGCCTGGGGTAGCTTCCAGTAGCCGCCGAGCCAATCAACTTGAATGTCTTCAGGAGTCAGGGACTCCGAGGCTCCGGTCCTTCCAGAGTTGGGGTCGGAAGTTCACGCGAAAACAAGGTCGAAGGGCCTGCGATGGAGCGCAAAGCCAACCCGCATCGTCCCATCAAACGCCCTGCCACCGCTCATTGTTGGCATGGAAAAGCAACACCTCTCCTTGGCTTCGGGAAATCTGTTGGAGGCTTGCAATGCTTACAGTGGCTCTCTTTTGTCCTGCAGGCCAAGCTGCGGCCACAAAGCTGGGGCTTTCATTTGCCCACCAGTGTCTCACATGTTCCTCGTAGGAGTCTTTGTCCACGAGGTCGCCAGCCGCGTGCACCAAGTGTTGCAAGCGTGGCCGGAACCAAGCCTCGAGATCTTGAGGCGGCTCCAGGATGTCCTGCGAAAGTAAAGCACTGGAAACACAGCCGTCCATGATGTCCAAAACTTCCGAGGAGGAAGCCATTAGAGGCTTCCTCTCGTGTCCTCTCAATGTCGCTTGCATCGAACGACTTTGCCTGCTTCGTGCGTGTTAGCGAACCCTGATGCAACCGAAAGGACCCTTCGAGATTCACAGGGCTCTTTGCGTCGCGGTCGAAATTGCAAAAGCTTCCTTGTGCTGTCTCCGTCCGCCGTCTTCGCCCAGCTCCCGGCTCCGAGTTCCCCCGCGTCTTTGGCAGCTTCTTAAAGCCCGCAAGCTGCGCGTTCTCTGAGCCTAAACCCTAGGACGTGGACACAGGCATGGCACCCCTGAGAGACAAGCCGAGCGCTCCTGCAGCACATCTTCCAGCTCACGAACATGCGAGATCAAAACTCCTGGCACCGAAAGGAAAGGAGACCTACATGAAAGCTTACAGTATGCATCGAGGCCTGCAGCTCGAGATCGATTGCAAAGCTTCAGAACCACGAGATCATTCTCTTTCAAACCCAATTCCGCCGAGATGTGGCTCGCGATCCCCGCGTAGTACACGCGGGGGAAACATACCTGGCTCCAAGACATGGGACATCCCGGCCCATGCTGGCATGGCCGCATCGCACCATTCAAATCATGAGAACTGCGATGCACCGAACCTGCGCCGGTATAATGTGTGCGAAGCCAGTGACGTCGAAAAGGTCGTGCCTTGCAACTGGCGCACAAAGACCCCTGCACAAGCAGGATGCACATGTTACGACGTACGACTTTGGTGCAGAGTGGGCTCGTGAGCTTTTTGTCTTTGGATATGAAGTTGTAGGTCCTTTGTAGACGCAACACTTCCGATCGTGGCAGTTCACGGGCGGCTGTGGATGCGAGCAACACGAGGACAGCTTCAAAGGCGAATGCATCCGAGCTGCTGCAATTCCACATCCTCCTCCTCCAAGTGGTACTGTGTCTCGAAAGTCTTCTGTATCGGGGCACCATCGCCTGAAACGCAAGGCTTTCCGACATACTGGCATCAGGAAGGGCAAGTTGCATCTGTCCTGAGAACTTGGAGATACGGCCATCGCCTCCGCAGGAGCAGTCACAAGTCTGACGAGCCCGCAGGCTGTGACAGGCAGAAAGCAAACAGCAGCGGCTGCTTCAACTTTTGGATGCGTAACACCCTCCGCGAATTGCTGAGGCCGCAGCCAGTCTCCAGCACCTGGATGCGATCGAGAACTGGCTTGAAGGCATCGTACTTCAAATCCACGATTCCCCAGAAGAGGGTCTTCACCTTCTGTGTTCGGCTCCCTTTGAGCATGCCAGGAGATGGTGTGTGACGTAGGACGCGAGACACAGCAGCGGCCCTGGTTGCAAAGATCCACCCATTGTCATCATAGTGCACATTCGGATCCCCGGCGCCAGCTGAGAAGGGGCAGCGGGTCTGTGGCAGGACTAGATCAGGTCCCATCTCTTGCAGAACCTTCTCCTGGCTCAGCTGGAAGCGGCTGGAGAAAACGACCAGTGCCTCAGGAGGAAGTAGATCCAGCACCTCCTCTGGCACATAGCCTTGCTGGGGATCCTCAACGTCCGTTCGCATGAAGTTGGGCATCAAAAGAGAAATCAAGTCCGGCGGGTCGTTCTCAAGCAGATCCGGGACCTCTTCATAGCAGGCTGTGCGGATTCCGGGATGCAGCCGTGGATCTCCTGAAGCCGCTCTAAAAAGAATAGAGAGAGAGAGAGGGAGAGAGAGAGAGAGAGAGAAAGAGTCGGAGAGAGGTGGGCTCCGGTCCGCGCTCCTTTGTGTTCTGCCTCTTGGGTCGCAGACGGGAGCTTCTTCTGCAGAAAGGCTCCCAGGCCAAGCTGGCGACCATGAAGGAGCACCTTTTCGGCTGCGCAGTTTCAGCTAGCATATCCGTAGCCCTTCGATTGGGGGCAGAAGAGAAGCAGCCCAAAAGGTGAGGCCCATGCCCACGCGGGCCCTCCACTGTGACGCTGGCGCACTCGCGTGCATAATTCGGCACTGGCCTTGGGAGTTCTTCGAAGAAGTCGCATGTGCTGGCGATGTTTTCTCCATCTCTTGCATTACGGAAGCCAGGCCGCTGCATCCAACCGTAACCAGCCATCTTCTTCTCGGCCGCGCACTTCCGTGCCTTCGAAGAGATCGCCTGGGAACGCAGAGCCGCAAGAAGCTCAATTTTCCAGCTGTTTCCAACATGACTCTCTGACTGGACCATGGCAAGTGGCCGACGTATTTCGCATCCACCGAAGGCTGCTCTCGCACAAAAACACGTGGATGCACAACCACATAACTCGCCACATCGTCCTTCGTCACCGAGGCATTGCTCGGAGCATCCACTCTTTTGACCTGCTTCTCCTGATCTTCCGGAACAAAGTGCTCGAGAAGGTTCTCACCGATGATGTACAGCTTCGTAGAGGCACGGTCTAGCCAGTTGACATCTCTAAAGAAGCCTTGCTCGGCAAGAGATACCTCGACTTCGTCCGTTGCTCCTATGACCCAGATGACGAACGGCTTCTCCTTTGATCCTGGCAGTGCATGCCAAGTGTGAGGCTTCCTTCAAGGCTTGATTGACCTATGCAGCCGCAACATTTTCAGGAAGAAACTCCCGCTCACCGCTTCCTGAACGCATGGGATATCCGCGGATCCCCAGCGTCATCTGAGCAAAGGCCAGAGTGCGGGACCATGAGTTTGCTCGGCGCTCTTTTGGAGGAGCTGCGGCATGCTCTACACGTAAGGCTTGGCTGAGAACCTGCAGGTCAATGGTGCATGGGTTTTTATGAGCTGTGAATCATCGTGCGGCCACACCTCCAGAGACTCCCAGTAATGGGATTCTACTTCGTCTTCGGGTTCATTGCGGTCGTCGGCTGGTAGCATCCTCGGCCTGCGTGGATGGTGCTCCTGCCGTTGAAAGAAGACGGACAAGCAAAAGGCTTTAGGGTTTGACATTGATGTACACGATACAAGTAAAGAGCATATGCACGATTGTATGTTTCTGTACAACCGCCAACCATAGCATGCAAAATGGAACATGGAAAAAAAACAATATATATGAAAACGAAAGTAAGTAAATCCGAACATTTATAACAATCACCCCATGAAATATGTTGTCCAATCTGAAATATAACGCACATTATATGATGTACAATATACAACCTGAAAGATAATGGAAAAAAAAGAACATACAGTTTCGAATACTGGTTTTATGTAAATACACACACATTATCTGCACATATTTATAGATACATATCTCCTATATATTGTAGATTACAAAATGTTCGCTAAACGTTATGAGATTCATTGTATGTCCTATTCAGGACACGCTATCACATATACATATATATATACACACACATGTATTCTAATATCTCTGCTGCATGCTGTGTTATATGTTATAACATGTATACATGTGCATGTGTATATATATACACACATACATACATACATACATACATACATACATACATACATACATACATACATACATATATAACATATATCTCATGTTTTACAAAATGAACCGCATGAAATACAATGTGTACATATATATGTGTATACATTTATACATATATACATATATATAGAGATATCACTGCACATTTATTACTCTGCGCTTTATATTGTATATATGATACACAAAACTTGTTGCACATAATATGTTAACCGCTATGCAATAACATAGCATATACCACATAGTACAACATGTAATGTACCAAAACAATATACCAGGCATCTAAAAAAATAAGAATACAACATATAGCCATACGAACAATCAGGAAACATGCGATACAACGCAGAATAATAGTTGTGATACTTTTTGGTCCAAAAGAAAACATCATTAAAAACGAACACAGTATATAACATATCAGAATGGTACAACATTTTGTAACATGGTATGTCCTATAATGTACAGTAATGGATTGTGCAAATGTTTTTCTATAGCCTACAATGTGAAAATACCATAACATAATAATGCGTGTAAAAACATATATGTATATATATATATAAACATCACGTATAACATGAAATAACAAGAGACATTTTGTATATGTACTACAACATGCGATAGATATTTCAACACGAAATTATAGAATACGTCACAGCATACCATGTAATATAGTGGAGAATATCACATATACTGGAATATAGTAACTAACATAGTATGCGATATAGTATACAATCTACAATATTATATCGTATACAAAACGCGCTGTAGCACAACGATACGGTGATGAAATATACATACACATGTACATACATACATATGTATATATATATATGTACATATCATGATTGCTACTGTTAGTCTATAACATATGTTATATACTATGTATAATGTACAATATATAACTTGTAGCATCTACCATACCCTAAACCCTAAACCCTAAACCCTAAACCCTAAACCCTAAACCGTTTAGGGCCCTTAGTCTGATGGCCCGTTGCTCCTCGGAGAGCCGCCTGGCAACGACTTCCGCTCCCCAGTGGCTCGAGCTGGGCTTGAAGCTAAGGGTCATCTCATTCCAGTCCTCACTTAGGGCTCAAAGGCTTGAGTTCTTTTTTTATCACCTCTTTTCCTTCGCCTGATATGGGGTTGAGTTTAGGGTTTAGAGTAAATACAAGCTTAGATGTGTTCTGCTTGCTCGTTTTCCACCTGCTCTTAGTAGCATTTGGTATGGTTGAGGGTCTAGTAGCACTCTGGGATCACACAGTCACTCAACACTCACCGGAGCCCTTGAGATGGGGAGCTGGACCATGCGTGACCCGCACGGAACCGACGAGCTCGGACTCTTCCTTGCACGTCCTAAGTTTGCTCCATCTGAAATGCGCTGGGCCAAAAGAAGAAACGAGCCCTTCTTCGTGCGTCTGTGCATCAGCAGCTCCGCTCTCAGCCAGCCCTCCTCCTCGTAGAGCACCCCGACCAATGTGCCGCCGAGGATGTGTGGACCCTCGTAGAACCTACAAGCAGTCTGGGGGTTCCCATGTCGTCTTGGAAAGGAAGCGCCATTGCTGATGAGAAGCAGCTGCCCATCCTCAGTGTGCTGGATCTCGTACTGCTTCCTGTTTCGCTCCTGCTCCCAAGTTCCTATCAAAGGAAGGGAGCTCTCCTTAGATGTGCAGGTGAAGGACCACTGAAAGCCGTGTCCTTGGACCGACTGTGGAATTTCATGCTCTCAATCAAGTCACAACTGTTTCCAAGAGATCCACCAACTGCTCCCTGCTCTCGTAGCGCTCCAGCTTGGTGACGCCATACCTGGAACAGATCAATTCACGATCTGCCCTTGGGGCGCGGCCTCTGATAGCAGCTGGGCCACCCTTTCAGGGCAAGCTTCACCTAGCAGCAGATCAAACATCGGTTTCCTACGATCAAACTCTTTGCATCACGATCGCAGGCGATTCACATGTCGACATGCGCCGGCACAGGCCGACTTGCTTGGACGTCGAGACCGGCAAGCTTCGGAGTTTTTTCCGATGCCTCGGCTGTGCCCATCGAAGCAGCCGGGCCGAGTGGGAGCGATTCTTCGGGCGCTGGTGCCTGGCTGGATTCGGGAATCGGAAACGCGATTTTCAACATGGAGTCAATCCAAACCGCCCTGCTCGCGACATGCCCTGCCCGCCTCAAAGACGGGTCTTCGACGCGGCTGCTCCTCGCTCTCTCGCTCTGCAACCTTGTCTCGACTCAACCAAGTGAATTAGAGCCAATCATTGCTTCAAGTGGGCAGTGATGGAGACACCAAACACGCCTCTAATTGCCGAGGAGCGATGTTGCTTCCCCACTCACCCATGGAATGGCTGCCTTCAGGGCTGCAGGCCCGCCACGGCCAATCGTGTGTGCTTCTGGAGATGGTGCAGAGCTTGGGATATGCCGATGCGGCGCTACACGAGAATGATGCTACCGAAGAGCGAAAGTTGGAAACAATTGCATCTCTTCTGGTAGCATGCTGCCGCACCCGGATGGAGCCTCACACAATCGGATCTGTGACTGAAAGAAGCCCATGTAGGACCTTTCCGGATGCTGAGCCCGAAGCCGATGGGCTCGTTCTGGCCCGTCAGCAGGTGTGCAAAGTACCAACCATCCTCGTCTTCCTCGAGAAGGCCGGACAGCATGCCGCCTGCCGCCATCAAAAAAAAGAAGCAGAGGTTGACTGATTGGCACCCCGTGCTCGGCCCGAGCCCCCCACCTCTCGAGTGGGGGCCTTCCCATCTCAGAGTCCCGTTCTGCAAGAGCTTGATCTCGTAGTTTTTGCGGGACGGCTGCTTCCCATACCTTGCTCTTGCAGCACTCGACAAATGTCAAGCTCAAGAACTGCAGCTCTCACTTCGCGAGAAGCGTCGGCAACCTCTGAGAAAGGAATCCACGGCATCATGGTCACCGCCGCTGTCGCGGCTTTCAAGCACAGTCTGCAAAGCAGGTGAGGCACTCCCATTTTCCCAGAAGAGGCAGTGCCATCTCGATCCTGCGGACCAGCTCCTTAAGTTTGAAGACACGGAAAGCACTGGCAAGTCAAAGCAGCAGCTGTTGCGGCTGCGGCAGTAGCTGGCGGCTAGTTGTCGCACTAGTAGTAGTAGTAGTAGTAGTAGTAGTAGTAGTAGTAGTAGTCGTCGTCGTCGTAGTAGGCGTAGGAGTAGGAGTAGGAGTAGGAGGAGGAGGAGCAGCAGCAGCAGCAGCAGCGGAAAAAGCAGCAGCAGCAGCAGCAGCAGCAGCAATAGCGGTGGCGATAGCACTAGCAGTAGCAGTAGCAGTCGCA